ACTGTAACGACTCCAACGACCACCGTTGCAGCAGGAGTTTCAACGACCGTCGTTGACACACCTTTGGAGCACTGACGAACCGATGACATCATCAGGCCCGTTTCTACTGAAGAAGTTCCTGGTACTATTTGGGGGGCAGGAACTACTACAGGAACGTCCTCTCGCTCGGCCCTCTCAACCGCTGTGTCTCCACTGAGAGAGCGGAGTAGGAGGAAGGTTCCTGTAAAGTTAATCATTGCGCGACCACCGGGGCGACGTAGGGGCGCCGTTAGCCGTGTCTGTAATAATTCCGGTCACGGCCCGTGAAAAAAATATTTTTTGTCTTAGTTACAACATGATTGAGCTAACTGGAGTAGTTTCATGTCGTATCCGACAACGGGAGGCTTTTAACAGATGACGTCCTGATGTTAGCTTTGCTGCTGCTGTTAGCTGTCCCTGTCAGCTGATGCTTTCTAGACATCGTGATTTCCCAAAACTGAATAAATACCACACATAGCAACTAAAAACTGCTTTGCTAGCTCAATCATGTTGTAACTAAGATATCCACTGGAAAATATTTTTTTTTCACGGACCGTTTATTGAGTTATTACAGACACTGCTAACAGCTAACAGTTAGCCCAGCTAATCTACGATAACCATGTTGTTATTTACAAAACGTCACATCCGGCCTTGAGTATTTCCAATCAGCACCAAGTAAACCCCAAGCCCCAGCCAGGAGATTCTCGGGGCCATTCTGAGTACCTACTCCGAGGCAGGGACTTGTTTAGCCCCTGTAAAAGTTCTGGAACTCTGTCCTTAGGGGGTGGTTCCTGCGGTGGAGACACGCACCAACGGCCCCGGCCCCGTAAAATTACCCCGAAGTTCCTGCGGTGGAAACGGGCCTATTGGCCTTGTGAAGACCTCCTCAGAGGTTAAATACCTGGGTTTTTCCACAACAGCTTGTTAGACTAGTTCCAGCCTAGTCAGACAAGCATGAACTGATGAAGCCTCTTGGATAAGAGGTGAAACGTCTTCTAAGATAAAACTAAGTCCAGCTGCGTTCGATTCAATTGCCTTGAGATAACTATGACCTGGATAAATGATAATATCCACAGACATAAAGACCGATTCGTCTTCACTCCACGACGCCACCAGTTTCTCCTTCTTTTTCACAGTACAAGAGAAGCGAAACTTCTAGACCTTCTTGCGCTTACCCAGAGTTCCTCCACGTAAGCAAACTGTATAACTATTTCTTTTTTACTCATTTGTCATATCGTCAACAATATCGTCATCGTAAAAATACAGCAAAATATCATGATGTTATTGTACACTTGGGTCACTGAGTCAGGCTCGGGCCCAAAACTGCTGCCGTGGTTCAGGCTCAGGTGGAGCTTGGACAGAAACTGCGGGTTTAAGTAGCGTTGGGTCTGATTTTTTGGGTCTGATCAAAGCTCCAATTGTGATGGGCCTTTTTCACCACATCCTGACAATTTACAGACCCAACAATTCATCAAGAACATTATCTTCAATACTGAAAAACATGTCATCTACGGCACTTTGTAGACTTTTGATTTGCACATTTAAGGAACAAACATCACCCCCTCATGTCAGTAAAACAACCAATGCGTGCTCTATTCTGACGATCATCAGGGCTGCTAACGAACAGCTTCATCAGTACAGATGTTTAAACTGCAACACACTGCTGCTCACAGCTGCTCACCTGCAGAGGAAACTAACCTACCAGAAACACAAAGAGACATTTTGCAGCATTTGGCTGCAGCTCGTGGTGATTTCCCTTCTGTTGCCCTGGGCAACACACGATTAGTCATCTGTTGTCATGAGAGGCAGAGCGATGCTGGACAGCAACGACTCATTCTGTCCAAAACATAACCTCAGTGTAGTGAAACTAGAGAGGTGGAGCTTAGTCTGAAACTGAGAGCGAAAACACACACACACACACACACACACACACACAGTACTGGTACTGTAAGGAACTCCAGACTGAGAAATCTATCACACGCTGAACGTTTCCCTCTGGTCGCCCCCAAAACATCTGGATTGTATCAAGCACTGCCCAAACAGTTCAGACTTCAGCTCTGTGAATCAACAAAGCTCCAGTTTTCCTCACATGTGTTTTCAGAGACTAGTTCTAGTACTTTAAGTTCCTGATCTTAGTACAGGCGCAAAGCGGCGCACAACTGTCACTGCTGGTCTCACACCAACGCACTTGACAGTACTTGTGCCCATCTGTGCCCCCGTAAGACTAGGTCTTTAAACGAGGTGTGGTCAGGCGCATCGCTATTTCGAGGAAGCAGAAAGTGATCGTGCTACTGTCCAGGAAAAACCAGGGGGGAGCTGCACGAAACACCTTAAGTTAAGATTTTCGTTAAAGTCCTAGTTAAGATTTCCTCATGATAAAATTGGTTGCACTTATCACCCTTAAAGGATAACCTCGGTATTTTTCAACCTGGGCTCTATTTCCCCATGTGTATGTGTGCATATGATTCATAGGTACAACTCATTCTAAAATTGACTAAGACTAAAAAGCACTTTTAATGCACAAACTTATACAGGACGCATTTGCCCCCGTTACCGTTTTAGCTCGTTTCGCGGCTGCCGGCTGCATCCGCCTCCCTCAATACTGAACCAATTTTAGAATGAGTTGTACCTATGAATCATACGCACACATACACATGGGGAAATAGAGCCCAGGTTGAAAAATACCACAGTTATCCTTTAAGGGTGATAAGTGCAACCAGTTTTATCATGAGGAAATCTTAACTAGGACTTTAAGGAAAATCTTAACTTAAGGTGTTTCGTGCAGCTGCCCCCAGGTTTTTCCTGGACAGTAGCAAGTTATCCTTTAAGTCTTCTCCTTAAGGTTTCCATATTAATTAGTGGGGGGATCAATACAGCATAGTATCTCGATATTTTGCGTGGCAACACCAAGTATCAATCTTTTATTATAGACATCATTCATTTTTGCAAATATACGTTTAAATATAACTTTTGGTACTAGAATAATAAAATCAATTGCTCTTTCGGTCCACTAGATGGTGCTGATGTTTTCTCCTGGTGAGGTCAGCAGAGGTTTCAGTCAGCGGCATAGAAGAAAGAAATCAGAAATGCGTTGTCTGCGTTTAAATCAAACATCTTGACTTATTTGGATTTTTTTTTTCACACAGAAGGAAAGAAGGACTTGGATGTGACACATGTGATTTACAATCAGTGTCATATGAGAATTAAGTACTCTGGGAATACTACGGACATGAGGGCTCACCTCACACTAGTGTTAGCCGCTATCAAATAATTGGCAGTTGTGAAAAAGGTAATAAATCTCAATAAATCGCAATACTCAGCATATCGACCCAAATATCAGGCTAATATCGTATCATGAATCCTTTGATGACGCCAACCCCTAAGATCTATGTGCTAGGTACACCAACTAGGGATGTCACGATTATAGATTTTCTTGGTACGATTATTGTCAGAAAAATAATCACGGTTTTATGATTATCACGATTATTATGCATTAATTAATTTCACACTATAAATGTGTAAAATCACATGAACACTCCTTATAGATCTTTAAGTTTAATTTATTTCCATGCCAACATGACAAAAATAATATAGCAACAAAGAAAAGTAACCAAAAAGTACAAGATTTAATGACAATAATCCCATTGGAATTAAACAAAAATCACCTCTGTGTTTTCGTTCCTTGAGAGTTGCGCTGATCTGCCTACTGTATATGGTTCCGCGTCCCGGCATAATCTTTGGAGAGTGACAGTGCTGAGGAATCTTTACGAATAATTAACCGTGGCGTTTAAAATCGCAGTTAATAGTGAAATCAAGTAATCGTGACATCCCTAACCCCAACAGAGGGGGGACCAAACATGGAGACGGTACAGAACGGTTCCACTGCTACCATCCACAACTATTCACTGTGGAGACGTAAAAAAAAAGCATACTAAAATGAAATGCTCGGATTGAAAAATACCAAAGTTACCCTTTAAGTCAAATGCCAGAGCTGTTATTTAAAACCCAAACTGTGTCAGTAGGATAGCCTGATTGTACTGTGATTTCGGTGACGCTGCCTTAAGAAAATAAAGCTCTTGATTGCAGGTTGTACTCTATGATGTAAGAAGATAAGACACGCTCATAGACATGTTGTAATAATACAGTTTATGAGTACTGCAAACAACTGTAATGTTTCCTGCTCTAACTTTCCATTCTTGCTCAGTGGGAGCATCAGCTGGTCGGCAGGTGGGTTGCACTTGAACCTGCAGGATCAGGCTCCAGTTGACCTTTGCTTTGATTTGGTTACAAGTTACAAAGGGGGCGTGGCCTTCCCCACACTGGAGCATTCAAATCAGCTTTCAGCACCTTCACCATAAAATCCCAGGGCTGTGCATGCGTTTACTGCTTTAATAAACGCATTAGATTGAGCAAATGCAGCAGATGCGTCTGTGAAAGCAAAACCAGCCCGTGTGAAAAATCAAGGTTCACTGACAGCTGTTTGAGCCACGTGTGTGTGTGTTCAGTCTTTTCCTGTTTACAGCAGTGTAAATTAGCTCACTAGTCTGAGCACCACCTCGCTAACTGGCTGGGTTAAATATAATAATGTATATACAGTCATCATCTGCACTGACAAACACCGAGCAGGTTCTGCAGGGCCAGCGTCAGCCATGTTGCTCGCCTTTTACTATTATTTACAGCCCCAGCTGAGGGGACAGGGGGGCGGGCAGGGGCCTCACACAGGCGGACAGCGGAGGGACTGTCCTACAGTGTGTCTGCGGCAAAGGCAGACATATCGCAGACAGAAAGACAGCAGCAGACCGGGCTCGGTCTCTCGCTGTCTGCCGCTGCTGCCTCCCCCGCCCCTCCCCCGCCAGACCAACCGTCGGCGGGAGAACGCCACCGACAAAACGAGCGCTCAGTGTGTGTGTCGCTCCTGGCTGTTTACCTGCGGGCTAACTAGCTAATGCTAACAGGCGGGAGCGTGTTCGGTTCTGTCTTACCGTTATTATTTTATAAAAATGGAGGAGGAAGCGGACTGCGGCGCGTTTTCTTGCCTCCTGCTGTCTGTCCACAGAGCCCGTTTCGACTTCACAGGAACCAGCAGAGACTCCACAGCCATCTCACCACGGAGCGTGAAGGTGCACGCGACGGAGCGCCCAACTTCCGGTGGAGCCTTTCACAATAAAAGCGCCAGTGACTGTTCTAAGGCAGTGAGAAGACATGAAACTGCACGTTACAAATGTATTAAATTAAATTAAATAAAAAGATGTTGAGGTGATTAAATGTCCTCACCAACTTAATTTAGTGTTGGAGAACTGTTTTATAATAATCAGGGTCCACACACTGTTATAACTAGTTTACTCACCAGGGGTGTAAATATAAGGCCCATTTCCACTGAAGAAGTTCCTGGTACTATTTGGGGGGCAGGAACTACTACAGGAACGTCCTCTCGCTCGGCCCTCTCAACCACTGTGTCTCCACTGAGAGAGCGGAGTAGGAGGAAGGTTCCTCTAAAGTTACCGGGCTCTGTATAGGCCCGTTTCCACCGCAGGAACTTTGGGGTAATTTTACGGGGCCGGGGCCGTTGGTGCGTGTCTCCACCGCAGGAACCACCCCCGAAGGACAGAGTTCCGGAACTTTTACAGGGGCTAAACAAGTCCCTGCCTCGGAGTAGGTACTCAGAACGGCCCCGTAAAACTCCTGGCTGGGGCTTGGGGTTTACTTGGTGCTGATTGGATATACTCAAGGCCGGATGTGATGTTTTGTAATTAATAACATGGTTATCGTAGATTAGCTGGGCTCACCGTTAGCTGTTAGCGGTGTCTGTAATAACTCAATAAACGGTCCGTGAAAAAAATATTTTTTCCAGCGGATATCTTAGTTACAACATGATTGAGCTAGCAAAGCAGTTTTTAGTTGCTATGTGTGGTATTTATTCAGTTTTGGGAAATCACGATGTCTAGAAAGCATCAGCTGACAGGGACAGCTAACAGCAGCAGCAAAGCTAACATCAGGACGTCATCTGTTAAAAGCCTCCCGTTGTCGGATACGACATGAAACTACTCCAGTTAGCTCAATCATGTTGTAACTAAGACATCCGCTGGAAAAAAATATTTTTTTCACGGTCCGTGACCGGAGTTATTATAGACACCGCTAACGGTGTCCCTACGCCCCTACGTCGCCCCGGTCAAAATGGTCGCGCAAAGATTACGTCACATACACAGTGCAGGTTGCACTGGGGCCCTTGGGGTTGGTGGGGGGGCCCTTGCCACTAGCCCCTTTCACACTGCCAGATTTTCCACGAATGTTGGGCCGTTTTGCCGGCCAGCTGCGAGCGTTTAGACACACAGAGCCGGATTGGCGAGTTGAACCGAGGCGCCCAATTTTCCGCCTCGTAGGGTAGACATATTGGCGGAACCCTTTTAGTTTAAACAGACCGAGGCGGCCTTCTGCCACGGGAGGGGCTGTTGAAGACTTGTGGGAGGAACTGTTGATGACGCCGCACATGCGAGCCACTGGCAGTGGATAAACAGGAAACAGCTGATAGCAGGAATTAGCGAGCAGCTAGTAGCAAGAGGGAAACACAAACTTGACAGACACTGTAAAGATGAGCAACTGGGGAGACAAGGAATTGCGCGCCCTCCTTGTCCTCGCAAACGAAGAGGCCATTAACCGTCAGATGACGGGGACGGTGAAGAACGGGCAGACTTAAGAGAGAATCGCAGGACTGACCAGCCGCGGCTTCCCTCCCACGTCACTGTTTACCTCACACACTGAGCTACACGTTTTGTTACTTGCTCACGCCCCCCATTGCCCCGAAAAAGGCACATTCTGTATAAACAAAAGTAGGTAGGCGGCATTTTGCTGCACTCCCCAATTTTGTTTTTATACTGCCAATGCTGAAAAAAGACTGATTGGGCTTTCCTGCAAATTTGCACAATTCCTGTTTATTGTCTTCTTCACATGTTTTTGAAAGACACCAAGCTAACTCGCTCTAACTCCTGTTTAAAAAGGGCTTATGATTTAGATTGCCACCTCTGAACTACACTTGTGTTCAAAGAGCCCACATTAAATTGAAAATGGTGCCATTTGCTGTAGGCTATATGCCCTCAAAGCTGCAAAGCCATCTCTATCGTGATTTTTTCTTTTTTTGCAAAATAGTCAATAGCAATCATATGCTTCTTCTACATTCTACCAATATATACACATACACCAATCATCCAGAACAATAAAACCACTGACAGGTGAAGTGAATGACTTTGACCATCTTGTTCCAGTATAAGGCTCTGCTGGGAAACCTTTGGTTCTGGCATTCATGTGGATACCACCTGACATGTTCAACCAAATAAAAAACCGTTGCAGACACAAACCATTGTGTGTGTTTGTGTGTGTGTGTGTGCGTGTGCACGCCCTAACTAGTAACTAGCGTGCCCCAGGGCCTATAATAATTGCTCGCACTGGGGAATCAGACCCAAACACAAACACTAATGAAGCCCTATGGGAGGATCTTTGTCAAGAAAGTGTTTGTGTGACCATTGATTCAAGATTTAGAATTAGTCACTATAATCTTCTGCACCAGACTGATCTACTACTGTTCCCACCCAGGTCACAAACTGGTCTCTCTCCCGCCCTCTGGTAGGAGATACAGGAGCTTAAAGTCATGCACAAATAGACTTAAAAACATCTGATAAATCAGAAAAATCCTGCTCTTCAACTGCAATCCGCTATTTATTTACATGTGCACCAGCTTGATACAGCCTTTTCTTTTTACACTATTTATTTACAGTTTTATTAATGATTATGTTGTCTGATTTTTACTTGCTTGTTTTAATAACTACTCGGCATCTGATCAGACGTGGCACTCCTAATCTGGTTGTATATTCTTTGTACAACGACAATAAAGGCTTTCTAATTCTAATTCTTCTATTTCACTCCTCTGAAGCTGCATAAATATAACCGTGTAATATCTAAGGTGTGTATTAGACGTGGCACAGCAGAAGCTACATTTTTACACGCTACATGGCTGCGTGCAAAAGTACAACACTTTTGGGAAAATCTGTGATACCATGTCCTCCATTAGAGCCAGAGTTATGTTCACTTGGAAAACTAACTGGTCTAAATTTCAGTTGCAACGCTGTTTTTAAATTCATTAAGATTGCACTTGCTGTTGCAAGAAAATGTATAGCTCTAACGTGGAAATTGGATTACTCTGTCTTTGTCAAAATGGTTTTCAGATATAATAAATGTGTACCTCTGGAGAAAATAACATGCTCAGAGAGGCAGATGTTATCACTTCATCAAGATATGGCAACCCTATATTGACCATATGGACTCAGTCAGACTGCAATTAGTTGATCTAGACATGATTTAGGCTGTGTTTTGTTATGTCTTATCATATTTTATTTTGTTTTATTTGACCTTGCTGACCTTGTTGACAAGGTGATTCTGTCATATGGGAGGAAGGGAGGGGAAACTGTCTGGTCTAGTTGTGTTATTCTGTTTTTTAAATTTGAAAATGAAGAAGAAATTTTTTAAAAATCAGACGCACTTGGGGTGATGTGTTCACTAACTGTAGGTTTCTTTGTATCAGTGCTTCCCAGCTGGTCCATCCATGGGGTTCAGATTTCTCCTTAGTTAGATCAAGGTCTACACAGTTTTATATATTCAGCGCCATGCTTGTGTTTGGGCATGTCGTCAAGCTAGTTTGCTGTCTCTGTCAAGCAGCTGTCCGTTATTGCCTCAATCTGTAGCAAGAAACGGCACTTCAGATCAGAAACTCTGTTTGACCAGTGACCCACTTTTGGATGGCCACCCACCAGTTGGAACCACTGCTTTAAAGGCACATTTAGGAAGAAGAATTTTATCAAAAGTCATCTGTGTCAGACAGATATCAGCAGTGTCATGGTTGATGGTGATGTGGGTGTACTACTTGTTAGATAGGCAGGTTACCGAGGAGGAAGTGAGAATACACTCCTTTATATTTCAGTGGTTTTCTGGCTGGTTGGTGGGTATACCATGGGTAAACCCTCCACTACACCAGTGGATATCAGTTTTATCTCCAGTACAGAGGCCCATGAAGTGCTGGGTCCATGTCATTGGTTTGACAGCCCATTGGTTCGACATCCCATTAGTCCGACTGTCCGCGGTGCTGAACGGCTCGCGGCGGGCGTATGGTGCGCCGCGACCGGCTTGAGGCAGAGCAGGCTCACGGCTTATGTGTTTGTCACTTCCTTTTTCATTTTAACCCACACCATGATCTTTTCCTGACCCTAACCTGACCTTTTTCCAACTGGATCACTCCAGCCATCAGTGACTTAAAATGAATGAGGGCCAGGGGCGTAAAGTGGGATGGCAATGTCCCCTTCCATACTTCCTGCTCCCATAGCTCTGGCCCCCCTGCACGGACCACACTCATCTTCAAACTAGGCCTTCAGATTTGATCTCAGTTTCACACCTGTTAAGCTTCGTGAACTGCTGTAACACAATCACATTGTCACAATCTGTCCACAGACACACATGGCAACTGTCTGTTCAAGGTGTGAATATGTAAGGTACGATCATGGAATGAGGGGACGGAGTGGTCTCACATTTCAGCCATCACAGGAAGTACTAACAGTGCCGAAATGATTTCTGTATAAACACGACAGCCACCAGGATGGTATCATGTGCAGGATAGATGTGATGTTTTGACAATGTTACACATATGACCTACTGCAGGATATCTAAGAAGCAGCTAGTAGCAGTTAGCAGGTAACTCAAACAAGAAGAACAGTGTCCAATAATTAGCCAGTATTGGCCAAAGAACAGTGACTTTCAGAGCTCCTTACCCTCAAAGCAGAGGACCAGATCAGCCGCCATATGACATGAACGATAAATGATTGTTATTGCCATGTTAATGCCACTGTTATCAGTTATCTGTTACATCACGCCTCATTTGGTTCTGTGATGCCGGCATGCTGTCTTACATCACAATCAGGAGCAGAATGATGCTGCTGTTGTTTGGTTCTGTGTAAAAATAAGAAGGAGGCATAAAAAGGGACTTAGTAGTGGCCCTATTGTGATCTCTGTTTAAAAATGACAATATAAACACCTAGAAAAATAAACATTATACCTTCTGAGATAGTAAACAGCAGCCTTTTGAAGCATAAATTTAAAAAAAAAACAAACATTCAAATTAAAAATCACTTGCCACTAAACTTTTATTGTTTGATAATGAATAAAAAACTACAGCATGTCACACATTAATCCAGAATTATATTAACTTTTAAGATACTCAATACCACTTAATTACACGTTTCTCAGATTTTATGAATTATGTAATAATAAAATGCTTGTATAGGTATAATTAAGATCTTTAAAAGAATTTTTGGCCCAATTTTATCCTTTTATTTATTTTAATTTTTTTTTAAATTCACTTTTTATTTTTGTCTTTTCAATGAATTTATAATAAATAAAACTTTAAATGCTGTAAATTTACATTTACCAACTTGTTTGGCCAAAAACAATCTAAAAGCAGAATCTACAGTTAATATAAATAAAAGGTTATTTAACACATTGAAAGCAGCCCTGAGAAATACTGAGAATAAATATGAGAAAGAACTGGCTTCTAACACCATTAAGTCAAACACTGAGCTCTTATTTTTTCCATCGCCTCACTTCCGGTCATATTGCTGCGGAGTGACACTCTTCACGCGCTCTCCCCGCCCCTGCCTCGCGCTGCCAAATAGTGCAACCGAGAGGAAATACAAAGACACCGACTGGCGCATTACGCTGTTTTTCCTTGCTTAATAGTGATCCGTCCTGCTGTTGAATGCGACAGTGGAGGAGACAGACAGACAGACAGACAGAGACAGACAGACAGACAGACACAGCGGGCAGTCAGACAGCTCCATTAATAAAATGAGTTGTGATATATTCAGAGGTGTTAAAGCAACATTTTCTTCTCCTGTCAGAGCTGATTTACAGCTGCTAAATATAAAAACAAACACTAAAGTACAGAATACAGATGTTGTCATTAAAGGGACAGTTCACCTAAACATCTAAAATACATATTTTCCTCTTACCTGTAGTGCTGTTCATCAGGTTAGATTGTTTTGGTGTGAGCTGCAGAGTGTTGGAGATATCAGCTGTAGAAATGTCTGACTTCTCTCAGCTTGTGTTGCTCAAGGTGCCAAAAAAATACATGTGAAAAACTCAACATCAATGACTCTGTCCAGAAATCATGACCTGGTTACTCAAGATAATCCACAGACCTTATTGAGAGCAGTTTCATGTCGGAACTATTTTCTTTCTACCGAACTACACCTGCCAACCGTATCACTGCGCAGAAGGAAGAGTGCATCTACTGCTAGCTCGCCGAGCTAACGCTACAGCTCCGCTGACACCAGCTGAGACAAGGAATTGCAAACAAGCTCAATTCTGACTCTTTCTATGATTAATTTTTCATCCACGGAGGTTTTATGTTTATAAGATTTTACATGAACCCAGATCTGTGATGTCATCACAATGTAAGGTCTATGGGACGAGCAAGAACCTGCAGGTGGAACCAGCAGAAGAGACAATACTGCACGTAGTCAGTGGGCTGCGTACAACGAAAGTAAACCCAGATGCTAGAAACTTTTTTGGCGCGTGTGCCAGGTGAGCAGTTGTCCTTGGACTGAGCAGGCGCCATTTAAGGGTCTAGATCTTATAATACAGTCATTGTTTTTCTGCCCGTGAAGTTTGACTGGCGCTCTTTTGATTGCGTCATCAGTAGCGCCACGTACTGCTTATCTCAATAAACCAGCTCTAAAAATTCACACAACAGTGGTGAATGTAAAAGCACTATCAGCACTTGAGCAGTGACGTCCGGTGTCAGACACCAAAGACAAAAGCTGTCCTTCCACATCGGCATGATACATGGGCGAATACTGGCAGCGTCAGAGAAACGCGGCGGGATAACAACATAAGTTAAGAGGGCGGGTGGGAGCAGTGATGGATGGGTCCAACAATCACCGCCATGTTCTTTTGGTGCATAAACCAAACCATGTGCATGTCTTGGCTAAAGGTAACTGCATGTGTTTGTTGTGGACGGAAAAAAAACATCAATTGGCGGTGTTGTACTGAGATGACGAAATGTTAAATTTCCTGTGAAAACAGAAGTGTATTTTGAAAACCAATGCATGTAACAGGCTGAAGTTGACACGGTGTCCCAGAACTTTAACCACCAACACACCCAGGGTACCTCGGACGTCATATGTGGACGTGGAAAGTCCATGACCAAACGTCAATATGTGACGAGGTCGTAGTGAGAACCTGTTGGATCCTCAGAGTCAGGTAATCATTCTCAGTTAGACACCAACTGTACTCATTAATCCAACCCTGCTCTTAACAAACTGGATACTGATGGTGTCAGGAAGACATTTGTTGACTTAGAATAACCCGTCTGAGACGACTGATGTTGGCTTCATGTAATATCTACAGTGCTTTACACATGCATCTTCTTCTGCTCCCAGATCTCCTGCTACAAATTAAAGAGACAGCATCGCCTGCAGCAGCTGTGGAGCTCTTCATGGTTCAGTGGACGCTGCGGACAAAAAAAACCCAACATGTCAAACCAGTCAAAGTCCTGTTGTTGACTCTCAGCTACAGTGTGGTTTTACAAACTGACAGAACAATGAGACAAACACAAGATAAATTCATGCTTGCTATCTCACATGATGGACTTCTACTCTTCACCAAACATCCCAGGACTACAAATCCCATCATACACTGCTGAACAGAACTACAAGTTTGAAGCTAGCAGACCACGTTTCCTCTCAAAGCACTAACAGTCATTTCTGATTATCTTATGAAACTAGTAACTGCTTGGCCTGACGTCATATCAGAGGCCGACGCTGTTGTGATACACACAGGTCACTCTCAATGTGAATATATGAATTAAATCATATATTTTATTTATTTATTATATTAGTGAAGTTACTCCAGATCTTCCATGTATCCCCTGGTGACTGTAGGAGTGTCTCCTGAGCTGTAAGCACCTGGTTTGGAAGGAAAAGACCAACTGACACCATCTGGCTTTTGTAAGTCAGGGTTTATTATGAAATTCTCACATTTAAATTAAGAGTCAAATGATGCTCAGCTATGACAACGCTACAATCAGCTGTTGTGCTCTCAACAATACGAGATGCAAACTTTTCACATTCTTTTTTGCAACATATTTTTATTGTACTGTAAGAAAGTTAAATGTTGTGTTCACACCATACGCGAGGCAATTTTGTGTTGACTCGCTTCATACGCACAAATAACTCGGGTCATACGTGCTTGAAAGTACGTCCTCAGCGTCATATGTCCCCAGAGACTCTCAATGCTGATTGGCTATCGTGGTGCAAATTGTCGCTGAAGTTCAGATTTTTCAACTCTTGGTATGGTGCAAAATCGTGCTACTTGCTTCATTTCAGCCACTTAATTCAAATATTTCATGTCCATTGCGTCCATTACACTGCCTGGTGGGAATTCATGTCTAATCACGTGTTACATTGACTTAACCTTTATTCGCGCCTAGTGGGAACACAACATAACATGTAACGTTCAAAGTGGAACAAAGATGAAAAAAAAAGAAGATCATGTCCGTCTCCATCCATCTATCCTTCTATCTCACATTCCTTTGAACTGCTGCATGATGGACAGAAGATGTTCGCTGCGTTTCTGGATGCTGCTCTGCTCCTCCTTCAGCCGCTCCTGCTCCTGCAGCACCTCCTCCTGAGGACCCATCACACAGACAGACAGAGGGAGGGAGGGTTTGTTTAAATGTGATGCTCCCACATTCCACGCATCTGCTTTAGCTCACACTTAAGCCCCTTTTACACTGCACAAAAACCTGCTAACACCCGCTAACACCTGGCTTGTTAATGTAACAAAAAAACATCCATCTCCGCCCAAGCAGCACAAGTAAGAGGTCTATAAAGACAAGTAACCACCATTACTTTTCACTGGCCTCCATGCTGCTTTCTACTGTTTGCTAATCTGTTTCCTGGCCTGTCCATGACATTGAACGTCACACAGCAGAAAAAAAAATCCCTCCCAGAAAGGTATACTCGTCTGCTGCAGAGCCATGTACACAGCTCTGGACTATTGGCAATGGGAAAGGAGTTTATCACCTATTTTCAGTGGGTTGCCCCGTGTTTTATTTGGGGAGGTGACATGTCATCTATCGTCATTATACAGTCTATGGCAGTAACGCAATCTGTACACAAGTGGTCAGCCAGAGACACACGTCTCGGCTATCCGAAAAAAATCCACAAGACCAAAAAACAGGATGGGTGTGTTTACTGACTCTGAGCCTGCAGAGCTCCCTCCTCTCTCGGTCGTTCTCCTCGGCTCTCGCTCGGAGCCACGCCTCATTTTGGGAGCGATGTCGGTCCAGCATCTCCTGTAGCTCCTGCACACACACAAAACAACACAAAACATATGTCCAGATGGTCTGTGCTCCTAATTTAGCATGCTAACAAGCCCCAAAGCATTCGGGTCCATGTCATTGGTTCGACAGCCCATTGGTTCGACATCCCATTAGTCCGACTGTCCACGGTGCTGAACGGCTCGCGGCGGGCGTATGGTGCGCCGCGACCGGCTCTGGGTCAGCTGGGAAAGGCTTGAGGCGGAGCAGGCTCACGGCTTATGTGTTTGTCACTTTCTTTTTCATTTTAACCCACACCATGATCTTTTCCTGACCCTAACCAAGTGGTTTTTGTGCCTAAACCTAACCAGACCTTAACCACAGGGCATCATGATGATTTTGGAACGGACTTCGGAACAATGAGTTTAATATGGTCGGAACAATGGGATGTCGAACCAATGGGATGTCGAACCAATGGGCAGTTCCCAAGCATTCTGCCATGCTAACATGTTAGCATTAGCATGTTAACAATGCAGTAGTTGGATAAAAGGGTTTAAATTAGACATGTTAGACGATATTCAGTTGGTTGAGATCTGATTGGATGAAGCGATGAACCTGCTGCTGTTGTTGTCTGCAGGCTTCATGAGCTTCTTTGTCTCTTTGCAGAGCAGCAGCAGCTTGAGACAACTCTGACTTCTCTCTGAGGAAAGAAAAGAAATTCAGACGTAAAGAAATTAATACAAGTTTGACAGCCTAGTTATATGAATATTTAGAGAGTTAACTCTTTGAAACCTGAACAAATTGGTTTGATTTCTTCTGGAAACACGGGAAGAAGGCGATGAGCAGCGCAACAAGCCTCTATAATCTAGTTCCCCATTATCTCGAAAGAAATCGAAACCACTTTGTTCAGGTTTCAAAGGTTGAAGTGTTTGTGAGAGGCGTCTGATGTTGATCCAGGTGTCAAAGGAGTTATCAGCTGTCAACCAGACCATCTCTTCAAAGAGACCCCAGCTGGATCAGTATTTGGCATTAATGATCTGATGTAAATACCTAATGCAAACAAACTAAACGTGTTCATGTACCGGTCCAGTTTGAGGAACTCCTGGTCGAGCAGGGCGAAAGCAGTCTGGATCATTTTCATGGCCTGATCTCGCACTGCACTGAAGTCTCTGTGGACAAACACCTACAGGAGGAAACAACACATCACCTGTGTTACTAGAGAGCTTTGTCTTGTTTTAATCTTACTTCATGTACAGTCATCACCTGAGCACTAGCTGCGGGGCCCCTGGGCTGGCTGAACGCAGCCGAGTCGCTCAGCTCGTAGCGAACATTGGGAACCTTTGTGGGAGTGAAGCTGTCGAGACCAGAATGAAACCAGAGTGTTAGACTGAGAGCTGAGAGTCAAACAGAGCGTGACGTGAAGCTGAAACTGCACACACACAGCAAGACGAAACAGAAACACAGGTGTGTGAAGCGGCTGTTGACCTGTGGCTGACTCCCTGCAGACCAAACTCCGACAAAATCTCCTTCATCACTGTGGAGAAAAAGTCCAGTGTTCACACAGCTACTCCAGCACAATCAATGACTTCCAGGTGAAGACTTTCCGAAAGTGTTTGCGGTTCTCCTCATCTGTACTATTCTTGTACACGAAAGCTATTTGGCCAGATTGACATTTCATGGTGTGTTCCTGCTCCCCAGAGGACGAACACTTTAATGTGGCCTCATCTGTTAACCACAATCCCCCAGTGTTATGTTCTCAATAGCTAAGCTGAGTCCTGCTGCTTTGTAGCATCATAACCAATCACCACTCTTCCACATAGAGTTTTCCTTTAGGCATTTTTGTCATCAAGAAAACTATATATGCTTCAACGGTGAACGAAGAATCCAAAAACGGAAAGGTTAAAGATTTAACATTAGGGACACTGTCGCTGTCTGAATAAAGGCAGTAAGAACAACTTCATATTTTAGCTCCACTGTTGGTACGAACAGTTAAATCATCCAGATGAGAGTCAGATATTTGCTGTAAAGCACGCTGCAGGCCCTCGTGTTAATGTGGTGTTTCAATAAAATAAATAAGGAATAATGTACCTGGTTGTCTCTCTGAGGGGTTGATGAGTTTCATCACCTTCAGGTCGTTAAACTCCTGCTCTTCATTCTTTCCTCCGAACACGTACAGCTGTCGACCAAACACACAGAAAAATCTTATTTAAAAAGACATGACAATAATGGCACAGGGTAAAAGGGTTATGAAGCCAGGGGAGGGGGGATATCGTAAGAAATAATTCAGATTCTCCAAGATTAATGTTTTACAGGAAAAAAATGGGATATTCTTTGAAATTACAGAGGTAAAATTATTAGAAAAAAAACCCACAATTAATGCAAAAAAACCCTTGAACATTCTCTAAGATCCTGAAGTCAGACATTTGAGAGTAAATACTGAGAAATTCACATTTATGAAGAAAAAAATGAAGAAAAAAAAATGCTCTCTCAATTTTTTTATTTAAAAAAATTGATTTATTTATTCATGCATTTTTAAGGAACCCCATTGCTTCAGTTTGCAACGCTGGATCAACCTTAGAATTTTTGAGTTTTACTAACAAATGCATGAATTTATAATATACAAACATATTCAAGTTTTTATTGAGATTGTGTAATTTCTTTTTTTACTTGTGGATTTACCACCTAAAATTCAAAGAATATCTCCGTTTTTTAAAATAAATTTATGACTTTAATGTAACCCCAGAATTTTTTGTTTTTTTGTTGTTTTTTAAACTACAATGGCCCTTATAAGCTGTTGTACAATAATAATCTCAAATGGTCTAATTAAAAAAAAGGTTTGGTAACACACTGACGTGGCTGTGGAGGATGAAGGCGGTGTGTCCGTGTCGTCGAGCCGGAGGAATCCCGACGTACAGAGGAACCTTCCACTTCATCTTAGCTGCAGAGACACAATGTGAAATATATAATCAATATATTTCTATCCTTTGACTTTCCTTATAATAGATCATATATTTCTCAGTCAGTTCATCTGCAGTGTTTCACTCACAGATGCTGAGTTTATGGATTTCATTGGATGATGTCACCATGCCGTCCTCATTCGTGCTTTTGCCCCCAAACAGGTAGATATCCTTCAACACAGATTTAACAGAGACAAATTAGATTTAGTTTATCAAAGACTACTTTTACTAGACTATTTCTATTAATGTTTACATCTGCTCTGATTTCCTTTCATATTTTAGACCTTCCTAAGCTCCTGTTTTGAGAGTTTGCTGGATTTCTGCCCTGATTTAGAGAAAAAATATATTTCATTAGGCTGAATTTGTGTCTCCACGCCAGTGACAGGTGTGGCTGTATGTTTTCGGGTTGTCATCTGTCCGTCTCATTCTCGTGAACGCAATATCTCAGGAGCACCTGGAGGATTTTTTTTTTAAATTTGGCACAAACGTCCACTTTGACTTAACAATGAAGTGATTAAAATTTTGTGGTCAAAGGTCAGTGTGACCCCACAAAATGAGTTTTGGCCATAACTCAAGAATTCATACGCTAATTATGACAAAACTTCACACTAATGTCTAACAGGATAAAATAATGAAGTGATGACATTTTATATCCAAAAGGTCAAAGGTCAACTTCACTGTGGCATCATAATGTTCTGCAAAAACACTTTTTCTGGCCATAATTTGACACCATATCTCAGGAACAGAAGGGGAGACATTTGGTCAGATACTGAATTGGTGACTCGAATCTTGAAACTGTGGTGATTGTATTGATCTTAAAAAATCCTGGGTTAAAATCAACCCAACTTGGGTTTTTTTTAACCCAACGCCTGGGTAACTATTGGACCAACCCAGCAGTAGTTAATTTGACCCAAAAAAATGGGTTGTGCATTTTAACCCAACAAGATGGGTTACACATTTAATTCAAATTCTGGGTCAAATTAATTTCAACCCTGGGTAAATTCTACCATATGAATTGGTTAAATATTATCCAAATTATACTTTATATAATATTCCACCCAAATGCTGATTCATATAAACTGCAATGGGATAATTCTACCTCAAAAATGGTGATTATCGTGATGTTGTGTTTTACTGTAACAGAATACCCATGTCTCGTAAACAGTTAAATTATAAACCCTCTAAAATACATCCTATATTTGCTCATGCAAATATATTACGCAATAAACACTTTTAAACAATGTTAGAATCTTTAGAAAATATTTACTCTATTTTTGGCAGATCAGAGGATTAACGTGCAAAACAATCTTCAACAACTGACAGCAATGCAAAACTACATGAATAAATGTACAATATCTTGTGTTTAGGACTTTTAAAAGCGAAAATGAAAAACAGACCATTACTACGTCAAAAGTAACCAACTAACTACAGTATTAAAATCGTCAAACATGGCCAAATTAACTACATTTAATGCCTCAGCTCCTGCAAGTGCTGTCGGGTTGACGCACCAAGACATACTTTAGCAGCGGTATGACATGCACCGGGCAGCAGCATTTTTGGATTCCCCAAGTAACTGCCACACTATGAAGAGTGAGAAAGTCTGCACTAGGGTGGGTGGAAGGCGAGGTGGATAGGTCAGACAAACTCCAGACTTGTACGTGTGTGTGTGTGTGTGTGTGTGTGTGTGTGTGTGTGTGTGTGTACTTTATCATGGTGTGCAGTCAGTGTTTGTCCACTGCAGGCTGCAGGTGATTCTCCCTTCACCTCCCATTTCTGCCAAACCAAGCTCTCTGAAATCAGGAGAGACCCAAAGGTCAGAGGTCAGATCACAAGTCAGACAAACTTTGTTAGATGTACACTTTGTATGGAAGTCTAGGGCTGACTGCGCTGAAGTGAAACCAGTCCATTTATTAGATTATATATTATATTTCATTCAATTTCTATTTTTGAAGTATAAAGGAAAATATAAATGTTGATCTTACATTGATTTCCAGTCAAAAAGCATTTAAAGAAACTTTAATTATTTATAATTAATGTTTTAATGGAAACACAAACCACTTGACGATTCCAAACATGTTTTCTATATATATTCCTGTATAACCTGACTCAGTATTTACCTGTGTTGAGGACATGCAAGTCTTTACAGAAGTCTCCACCTGCCTCACATCCTCCAAACATGAACACCTGATCTCCGACCAGAGCAAAACTCTGACCAAACCTTCACAGACACACATACTAAGGTTAGTGTCAGTGTTAATAAGAATCACAACCACTGTGCATTTTAATATAACACAATATAACATTCCTGTAACAAATCCTCCCTGTGTGTATCTGATGATCAGAGTCTTACAGCGCAGGAGGCAGAGAGCCGCTGGTTTTTACCGGCGTCCAGGTGAGAGACACTGAAACAGAAAGAAAACACAGACACACAAACTTGTAACAGGCTGAGTCTTTTAAAGGGCCAGTGTGTAAAATGGGTTGAAAACAGTGACATTAGTGGTCAATTCTAGATTGCAGGGCTCACTCGCTCACCCCTCCCGTCAGGTAAATGACGGTGGCCTCGTAGGGACAAAAAGCCTTGCGCACGAGTTTTTCAGGAGTAGGTCTATCTAGCAACGAGGTGAATGTTTATTTAGAAATCTAAGCCATGTTACGATATTGTAATGAATCCCTCACGAGCAGGAGACCAGAGGAGCGTTCGGGAAAAAGGTCCGTTTATTTGAGCACTCCAAAAACTCCGGTAACACTCCACTCCGTCCCAAACTCTGACTCTTCTAGCGTAACAGACACACTTCATACACACATACTCGTTTACCATCCTGAGTGGGGACCCCCCTCTCCTCTCTGCTCCACCAATCTCCAGCCCGCACACTGACTGACAGCGTAGCCTGTAAACAGAGCTCAGCTGTTTATTTAGCCTAGCAATATCTCCGGACTATAGTAGCTGCAATGGACGACTTTGAACGCGATTTTGAAGAGTTTCTTGTAGCGGACACAGACCCAGAGCCATACCTGTTTGAGCCGGAGCATACAGATGAGGAACTCCATGTGTTTGATGCTGAGCGGGCGAGAAGAGAGGCTGAATGCACAGAATGGGATTCGGTGCTACTGCTGCCATCGTTGGGGAGATATATCATCAGGAGGAAAAGCGCCGCAGAGAGTGCATCACAAGGAGTGAAGTTGCGTCTTCTTTTCCTCGCAGATGACGGTTCGGGTTCATTCTCTCCTGTTGCGTGGTAAGTGTGGTCCATTCGCAAACTTTATAACTAAAAAAACTTTTCACTACTCTCTATCGACGAACTACTAACACTCTCTGCTGTTTCCTCCTCCTTCTTCCTTCCTTCCGCTGTCTTCGTTGGTTCATTTATACACGCGAAACGCGTTCTCTGGCTGGCTGGATTGTCCGCTCGGTCTGCCGTACATACATGGCGGCGCAAGATGGCGACCTCTCTAAAGCAAGGCCCTTGCTATATATATATATAAAAGCATAATTATAAGGCTACGAAAACCAAACAAATTTTATTTTATAGCGATCATACACTTATATAAACATATTAATGGGTAGAATATTCAGATTTAGATTCAGATTGACAATAAACCATGCCAAATATTACACACTGGCCCTTTAAAAAGCAGAACGCTCTCAGTCTGTGTCAGCTGATTATCATAGAAATACAGACGACAGTAATTCTAAAAGCTAACTGAGAGTTTGGAAAATGATCAGCAGGGATGAAGAAGAATCAGGACCAGTAGTTAAAGGAACACTTCACTTCTTAAATTATCATTTGCATATCAAGATCTTTATGCCCTTAAATGAAGATGAAGATGATGATGTATGGACCTGTGTTGAAGACCAAGAGATCATCAGATGGATTCCCTCCCAGACTGCCTCCGTACACGAAGATGTTGTCTCCCACGGCAACAGAGCTGTGGCTGAGGGTCCTGAGGGCCACACCTCCGACTGCTAGGCCCTCCCAGGTCAGAGACACTGTCAGAAGATGGAGACACATCACAGCACTGTTAGGCTTCACTTTACTCTTCATTAATGTAACATTAAAGCAGCACTAACAACACAAAGAAACATTAGCACAAATGAACCGGGACATGTTTCTCCACCTGCTGTAACATCCTCACCTATATCAAAGCTGTAGACTCCTGGGAGACACTCAGTGGCGTCAGGGCTGGACGCTCCTCCAAACAGATACAGCTTCCCTTTCACAACACTAATAAAGAAGACAGGTAAAGCTATGGGCATGTGTCATTATCAGCAGTGAGTCTGCCCCCTAACTGTAGGCCTAAGCAATCAGCAACTAATATATGTTGCTGTACCAAAGAGTGTGTCCTTCTCTGGCTGAGGGAACGTCTCCGCTCTGAGGAATCTCCTCCCACATGACATCATCAGGAGAAACTGCACACAAGAACAAAAGCTCTGGTTAGTAGTGGCGTGAGTTGCCGAGTGTTGGAGATATCAGTTGTAGAGATGTCTGCCTTCTCTCCAATATAATGGAACTAGATGTCTCTCAGCTTGTGGTGCTCAAAGTGCCAAAATAATACATTTGAAAACTCAACATCAATGTCTCTTTCCAGAAATCATGATCTGGTTACTCAAGATAATCCACAGACCTTGTTGTGAGCAGTTTCATGTAGGAACTATTTTCTTTCTACTGAGCTACACCTGCCAACTGAATCATCTGACTATATAATGATGAAAACTCTGTGTGTGTGTGTGTTCCACGTTTTTCTCCTCACTGACTTAGTCAATCCATGTGAAATTTGGCACAGTGGTAGAGGGTCATGGGAGGATGCCAATGAAGCAATATTACATCAATTGGCCAAAGGGGGGCGCTATAGCAACCGACTGAAATGTCAAACTTTGAATGGGCATATCTCATGCCCCGTATGTCGTAGAGACATGAAACTTTGCACAGAGATGCCTCTCCTCATGAGGAACACATTTGCC